TTAAGGTTTTTTTCATATACACTGTTAATAGCATTTTTCGCAAGAGAGTCTAAAATCTAAGTTTTTACCAATATTTAATTTGATAGATTGAGATAAATAAATTAATAACAGTTCATTTGTGTACTAAATGTATTTCTTTAGCGCTTTCTTTCCATACCATTTAATATTAAGGCAAAATTTACATTTCGAGTCGATTTCACAGCAAATACATCGTCCTTGCAATATAATAAAGCCACAAATGAACGCGTGTCTTGTTTGAATATTTCAGTACCAAGCATTGTCGTTAGTCTAAGAATATCGCGTTGAAAATATATACATGTCTTATTTGTTTTGAATGATTTATAGTAACGGATCTGGTTGTGATTTTCGTCATTATGCCTTTACTTATATAACAATTAATCACCGTTTTGACAATTATAACAAACGTTCAGCTTTGATAATACACTGTAATAAAGTTATCTCGGTACGATTAATTAAATTCAAGTTTAACGTTAGGAAATTATCAACTAACTGCTAAGAACAACTATATATATGAACCATTATTTACTTTTAATATGTTATTCTCAGCACTCTAATGTTATAGTTAACCACCATTATAACTTTGCTTAAAACTGATATTTAAAACAGCTAGTATAACGTAAATATTTTTGTACCAGCCATATATAATAGAATTGGGCGTCTTAATCAGATGTCACAAAATGTTGTAAAATAAAACTTAATAAGTCGAGTACTTTACAATACAGAACTACCATTTATTTAAATTTAACATTTCTCAATTCTTTCTTTTGCACAGCTCAAGCTCATTAGATTTTGTTTTCAAAGAACAAAGAAATGTTAAGGACATGCCATGATAGATGAACTTAACATTGTAACTCTTAAAATAGATTTTTCATGTTTCGGTTAGTAATACAATACCGATACAATAAATACAAATAAGTAAAATCAACATTAAAGCACCACTTGCCCACCGCCTTGTGGGTTCGAAAATCCCGACAGGGACTTTGGATTCTTTCATGTGAGGAAGCTATCCAGCTAGCTTACGGAACGTCGGTGGTTCTACTCAGGTGCCCGTTTCGTGCCTGAACAATAATGACCGGAAGGGCACCTTGAGGTCTTGCTCCACCAGTAAAGCTGGACGTGCGCAATAATGACCTATACTGTGTCGGATGTGTGGTAAAACAAAACAAACACCGACTAAGCTTTAACCAAATCAATACTCTTCTTAGCTTTTGGAACTTTAACAAATTTTAAACATACACCTTTAAAGCTTAAAATACAGAATCCTGTTCCTCCAAACATTCAGATCCCTTTAGGCCCCTTTTCTGCCATCTGAAGTCCACTGAGAAATTTAAAATGTTTTCCCAACAATTAGGTTATGTTGCTTCTCTGCAATCGACGTTCTTTTAGCTATATTTTTACATAATTAAAAATAAAAATGTCACACAACAACAATTTTTTCGACCAAAATAAGCGTGTAAGCGGCACATGCTTAAAGCAGGAAACCTAGTTTTTTGCCTTACATTTTTTAACCTTTTTTCGCTATAGACGTATTACCCGGCTTTTCTACCCCCCCCTTTTTTTGAGGCCACTCAAACAGTTGACATATGCACCTGATTTAAGGCCCCAAAACACATGTTTTTCGTTATGTGTAAATGTTGTTTAAAAAACGTGACATTTTTTGGGCGCCGCCCCATTCAAAATGTTCATGGGGGTTTGAAGGGCGGCGACAGTCCTCCCCCCCTAGTCGGCAAGAATTTTTGGCATTTCTGCTTAATGGCCTCAGGTCGATCTCGGGTAACTTGACTTTGACAACCCTTTTACTCTCACCCCAATTAAACCCGAAATTTTGCAACAGATTTGAAATCACTTTTTGATGGGGGAAAAAAAAATGCAAAATAGTAAAATTTTGGGAACGCCCCCCCTTTGGGCATGGTTAACGGGAAATTTTTCCCAATTAAACCATGCTGTTACAGAGGTTTATTTTCCAGAAAAAACATTTGTCCCAAAGTTAATCAGTTTTTAAAGCTTTTTTCATAGTTTCATAGCATTTTTAAAGCGGGGAAACCCAGGAAGTTTTTTCAATGAAAAGGGCCCCTTTTTTCCAACTACCCTTTTATGGGGTAAAAGGCAAATTTTTTGATATTTCTGTTTTTTTTCCTTTTTTGGTTGTTGTGAAATTACCTTTCCTTTAAAAACCCTTTGGGTTTTTTTTAAAATCACCCCCATTAAAAAATGCTACTTTTTTAACTTGAATTTTAAATTTTCCCTTTTTTTTGGAAAAACACCCAAATCTCTTTTATTGTCTTTTGATGATATATTTGGGACATTGTAAATTGATTATTCTAGTCCACTGTTTATCTTAGGTTTCATCGCTTTTTATTGGGCTCGGTTTGTTCTTCGGTGTTTTATCTCACCTTGAATACAAATTAAAGAATAACGTCTATTTCAACTATACAGCGCATATTTTCTGGCAAATCGAATTGTAAGGGGCTCATAATGCGGTGTTATAAGTGAAAAATAAAGATTGAAAACATAACAAAAAGAATCAAAAAGGAAAGGCCCGGCGTTCAATGAACGCCAACCCCCATAATGGCCCAGCAACAAGAACCAATGAACCAATGAAGTTTATTTCTGAATTTTATCATCACTTGCAGAAACATGAAAATTTATTTGTTGCTATATTTAATACGTTTTTAATTTTTTTTTAGAATAAAGAGTGAAAATTTTTACGATTGAAGTCTTTTTTTGTGTCCCAGTTAAAACATAACATGAGCAGCTGTTGTTTCATATTAATATACTAAGTTTAGACTAAATGCAAAAGAACAAATGCATTTGGACTGTCGACATAACAGTGCAGTGCAAAATTCCTTAGGATTTTTATATTTTAATGTCAGAAAAATTATTTTAACTTTTACTTTATCACAACGAATAGAAATGAAAAAAAAAAACCATTTTATCTAAATGAAAACTGATTTCTAAACATTAAAATTCTTTCAAATAACTTCTTAATGTAATTTAATTCATTTAGGCTCAATCGTTTTTGTGACACCAGACGTGTCCATTGCAAGTGAAAAGAAAAAAAAAAAAATGAACTCGCGAATGAATTTGTTTGTCACAAATTCTTTTAAAGTAATACATGTTGTCTTTGTTTTTGTGGGTGTATTAGATTTAATTTAAGCGAAAACTTTACTCTATTTCTAAATAATATATTTTGATTTTGACGTTAAGGGCAAAAATTGAAAATGATATCGACTCAAAGCGATTTGCATTATTTTATATTCTTTATATCTTCATTATTTCAATATGCATTTACAACTTTTCTTTACTCGTGAAACGCGCTTTAAATTCTTTCAATACATATTTATATTATTCTGAAGTAAATTATTCTACTACAAGTTACGGTTACGTAAAACCAATGGTTTTATATTTGACAGAACTAGGCATGAGATGTTTTATCCAATTATTCATGAAAATTGTCAAATTCTTGAGAAAACATACTTTCCTAGATAAGCGGGAAATGAGATTAAGTATTTCCATTGAAGTAGTGTTACAATTAATTAAGTTTAAAGTGAAGGACTTTCTTAGGTGTTTTGTGTGGGTGTGATGTTAATTTGCCAGAGATTATCTTCTGAAGATAAAAATGGAAATTGGAAATGACGTTTCAGTCTTTTTTTAGAATTTTTTTAAGTGTTTTTTTCCAAAGATTTTAAAAAATTTTTTCCGGGATGTTGTAGTGAGACATTTTTCATTTAACTTTAAAAATTTGTAGCTTTTCACCGAAAAAAAAAAAAAAATCTTCTAAAGTTGAAATTTTGGGTGTCACAAAAAATGTATGCAATTTTGCAAGTTTTTTTAAACAGCCCAGAGTAGTCAAATTAATGAACCCATAAACTAGGGGCTTTGGGTTTTTACTAAATGCAGCTTTAAAGTCCCAAAGGAAACCGGGTTTAAAGGAAAAGGGACAAGCCCCCGGACAATAAGGGTAGGGACCCCCAAAAGCGCTCCCCGAGAGGGGCGAAACCGGCTGGTTTAATATTAAATAATTTTCCTTATATGCGTCTTCACCCCCTAGGGTCCCCCCCTTCCCCTTATTTTTTGACTTCAGTTGTGTATGCTCTACCAGGATTCATACGTCAGTGTGAACACACAGGCGAATGTCCCTTAAATTACACTTTTTGTCACATTCATTTGTTGATTTTTTGCTAAAGTTGTAGATGTTAGCTTGCATTTATCATTATAGTTGGCGAGGTGGCTCATCGAGGCCGATTCGGCAACATACTAGATTCTGCAGTGTTTATTGACGTTAGTTTCCATTTTTTAACTATTTTGTTTTAATATTTCTTAAGACTATTGTAGGGTAGCAGTGACTAAGCCTCATTTTAAAATTGAACCGCTTAAACTATTCTATAACTATCACTTGATTTTATTGTTTTTAAGGAGCTTAACTTTCAAAAATATTGTTATATTGTTTAATATTGTTTTAAATTAAAATGATATCATTTTAGACGAACTGTAAACTGTTTTTTCTATAGATCAATACATCACCATTTACATTAGGTAAATTTGGGTTTGCTTGTAAAGGAATTTCGGGCTGTTTTGTTTCCATGTAATTTGATAGAAAACAACCTTCCTTTATATAGTGGAAAAAAAGCAATTTCCAGTTCTCAAAGTCTCCTGTGAGTAAATAACCATTTACTTGTGAAATAGATACCATTAATGGCACTGTCTGAAACCTCAATGAAGCTTTATAATTAAAGTTATGCAGTTAGATAGCGTAACTGTATTTCAAAACAAACATATCATTTTTCAAGTTGTTGGAATGAAATTACAATATGAAGCGATAATAACGTCTTTATGTACTAAATGTACATATTTTCATGTTCAATAATGGAAAGATAACGGGATTTGCGCTGTTGTTTAAGGACTTTATAGGCTAAACAAAGACATATCTCTTTTAACACTGACAAAGAACAAATAAAACAATCATCTTATTTACATACCTGTTACACATAACTGCCATTTATCATCCCATTGTATTTTGATGGTGTTATTCATCAGATACCAGCCCACTTTTTTGTCACTGATTTGCATGCCTACAAAAACGTTATATCGGTTTTTTTGAAACTTTTTCGTCTATAAAGAACAGAGGAAATTGCGGCTATTTTGTATTTTTCATACATCACAACAACGAGGTGTCAAGTGTTGTGTGGTAGCTGTATAAAGTTGCTTCGTACTTCACCTAGTGTTGTTATATTTTCTGGTCCTTCGGATCATTGATTACCAACACTTATTAAGTGTTGAGAATTGGAAACCGGCTCTTGAATACCTCTCAAACCGATGCTAGGGTGCGTGAGGGTATTATTGCACTTATTCATGATCCTCATGTACGGAAACTCAATCAAAACGAGTCTGGCAATTTACATGTAATTTTTGTGATTTAATGCTTCCCGAGTGATCACTTTGATTCCAGATTTGGGTAATATAGTATTTTTCAAGTGAGCAATTAAAGGTACCTTATGCTTCAGAAATAAATAATTTTCTTATTCCATAGAAAGGGATATTTTGTGCTTTATAAAGTTGTCAAGAACTGATTAAGGTTATAGATGAGATACTTATCACCTGAAGAAAAAAGGACTGAATGTTAAATATTTTTTCATTAAGGTAGCAAACTGTAAAGAAAAAGTGTTACTTTGACTTCCATACAAAATACTAAACAGAAAACAAAAGATTATCATTTCACCCACACAAACAAGACAAATTCTCTTTGTACTAGTTTTGCGTCAATCAAAATTGATTTTCGAAGACATTTAGGTAGGTAAAGGACAAAGGAAAACAGTCGTAAACAAAGTCATTTAAAATCAAAATTAGTTTTCTCTTGCATTTTTAGCCTAAGAATAGAAAAGAATAATTTACAAGGATACTTTTACTACATCTGCACTATTCATTATTTCTTAGGTGCAAACTTTGGTTTTTGGATTGCAATTTTGAACAAATGCTCCTAATGACAAAAGTAACAAAGGTCTTACACATAGTTGGATATCATGTAATATAACATTATTTGAAACGCATACCAAAATGATGGTGTAGTTGACTAGTTTATTCGAAGCTCAATGACTTAAAAAACCAAATACTGTTGTCACTCACTTCAAATTTGCTTTGTTCAATAATGTTTGTTTGATCACCCAAACATTGATGAACTGATGTAAACCTATATATTTTGAAAAAAAAATCTTTAATTTATTTGAGTATCGAGTGATATCTAAAAATTCGTTATATTATAACAAAGAAAATATGTTTTATTATTATATTTAATATGATTATTTAAAGTATAACCACTCTGTATCTGAAAGTGTGTCAAAAAGGGAAATAAAAACATTTCCCTAAAATTTTGCCGCATTAATTATGTTTTGTAATGAGTTTTCTAGAAAAATCAGATAAACAAATCATTAAAGTTTGATATAAAATTTTATACATAAAAATTTCAGGGGCCAAAATTTAAAGAAATGAAATGAAAAATTTAAAACCGGGGGAAAAACGATTCAAAAACTTTAATAATAATAATTTCCAAAATTTTTTAATAAAATTAAAAAATTAGTTTGGGAAAGGGGATGTTTTTATAAAGAATTAGACACCATGTGGTATTGGGAAATTAAGCAAAAATTAAATGCAAAAAGTATTTAAAAAAAGTACTTGGTAAAAGTAAACAAACATTTTGGTTGGGAATTTTTTTTTTCGTTTGTTGGGTTTTTTCCGTCACACAAAAAAAAAAAAAAACAGAAATGTAGGTCATTTGGCGACGTTACAGCTTTACTGGTGGAGGAAGAACCTCAGGTGCCCTAAAAATTGATTTTTTTTTAATACAAAAGCATGAAAGGGCAACCTGAAGTAGAACCACCGACATCTGTAACGCTAGAATGGATAGCTTCCTCACATGAAAGAATCAATAAGTCATAAACAGTAATACTAGTAAATTGAATTATTCTAACATAATCTGAAACAGATTTTCAATTAAATACTTGTCGATAAATGGTCATAAAATAATTATGGTATTTACCAACTTTAAGATTTATAACGGCAAATTAAGAACTATATAATTATAAGATAACGTGTCAAGGATGGGCATTACCAGTGGATGGTTTTAAGCAAATGAATAACCAAAAATAAATGAATTAATTATATGAAGAGATAATCGAATATTTCAGTATTAAAAAATTTCCCAAAAAAGGGAAATAAAATTTTCCCCTTTTTGTTAAAATTTTAAAAACAATATTAAAAGAAAAAGTCTATTCGAAAATCATCGGGAATTTGGTGTTTTTAAAATCTTTTTTTAAAGCATGAGAGAATAAAAAAAATTATCTTGTTTGTTTTTCCAAAATCTTTTTTTAAAATTGGGGTTTTTAAACAAATTTGGGTCTTTTTTACAAAAAAAAGTAAATCCAGATCTGAAATATTTGTGTTTTCCCTTGGGGTTCGTTGTCCCAAAAATTGTTTGTATGCCTTTGGTCGTTTGTTTTTGTTACGCCACTTGGGCAAAAGTGTTAGAGAAAAAAATAAAAAAAAAGCTTTAAATAAATTTAAAAATTTAATTAAAATTTAGCAATAAACTAAAAAAGGGATTTGAAATTTTAAAAAATAAGAATTTTAGATTAGAATTATATTAAAAAAGAAATTTTTAAAATGTTAAAAATGATATAAGAATTGGGAAATTATTAGAAATAATGTTTTATAAAAGGGCAAAAAATAAACATTTTCAAGAATCTTCTTTAACATTTTTAATAAATCCTTGAAAATTTTTTTTTTAGAAAAACAAATTAAAATTTACTTTAATATATGATGTGAAAATTATAATTGTTTAATTTTATATATGAAAACAGTTAAAACGTAAGTTTTTTTTTAAAAAAATTTAAAAAATTTTAAAAGCATTAATTCATGTGTCAGTTCAGTTAAAATTCGTAATCAACTTTTGTCGGGGCCCGGTTTATAACAAAATAAAAAATTTTTTATCTTTACGTTTTTTAAAAAAGGGGCATTTTTTTTCTAAAAAGGAATTTGCGATTTTTTTTTTATGGGGGGGGGAATTTTTTTGAAAAAACCCAATTTAAATCTATATTACGTGATACTATTTGTTGTTGAGTTGAGCCGACCACACTGTCTTTGTCTGAAATTAAAATAAACCAAACTATCAGAAAGTTCATATTACGTGTTATTGTTCTTTTTGCCTGTAACACAAGATAAGCATACCATTTTTATATAATCTTACAATGTACAAGAAAAGGATAATAAAAATGTAATCATTGTAAATATATTATAATGCATAGAATATTCCTTCCAAGCATGCTACTGTTGTGCCGAAAAATGATAAATTTCATTTACAAAAAAAAAAACAAATGAATAAATATGCATGATGATTTTCTTTTAAACACAAATATTTATATATATGATCATTTTCTAAAAGGTCATATTTTCAAAACAAAATTTGTGAAATTTCAAATATGTTAAGTTGCAAATAGTATATGTTTCAATAACAGATATCAAATTTAAAATTATGTAACTGGAAGATTAAAATGCGGCTTCTCCTCTTTGTCCAATCAACTGTGCTAAAAGTTTTATAATATATAGGTGATAAGGTCAATAAAGCTGTCTGTACTTATCATGTTGTTAAACCTTATGACTGATAAAATATCCAGGTGATGATTGTTGTTGTAAATTCTATGTTGCTATGTTACATTATTTTGTATTGAAACCTGATTGGTCATTTTGTTATTTAAGACACAAAAATGTTAAAATTCTATTGTTCAGTTTAAAACGAAATCAATTTTAGAAATATTGTAAAGATACATGTAGAAAATTTAGGGTAAGTTAGATTTTGGATTTCCAAGTGATAACGTATTGTGGCTTTCCACTAGAAATAATTGTTACTGTTTTTAATATCAATTTATTAACATCAGGATAACCTGTGTATATGTTATATATTATTTGTGGTAATCCACTAAAAAAGAAACATTAAAATATAAAACAGAACATTGTGTTGAGATTCAATCCACCTTCAGTAGAACCTATAATTTAGCGCATAACACTACTATTAATGTGTAATGTAAAAGATTATGAACATGTGCACCATTCTTAGTAACTGTTGTTCTTCTTTTCTTATTGATTGAGACATTTCTTCTCCATAAAATTGTAATTGATGCAGCATAAGTTGTTACAATTACAGTGAGGACTCCGCAGACTATAGCAATTGCCAGTATACTACCACAATTACATTCTTCTTGGCTGACTTCCGAACTAATATTATGTAAATCTAAAAAGTTAAAAACAAAACGATTATTTAACTTAAAGATTACATTGTTAACGACCTTTTAATAAATTAAAAAAAATTCTGACATGTTTGAGGAAAACAATGTATAAAACGATAACTACAATATCTGTCTTTAATAAAGAAAAACAAAAGACAACGTAGAATAATAAAGTGGCATTATGCTTATATTTTCATAGTCAAGTTGAGCTGAACTGACTAATTATTTCAAGAGATTGACTGTTAAAATGGTGATTGACTAACCTTTCAAATTGAAAAATGTATAGGATAAAATTAAAATCAACCTAAAATATAAAAAGACTGCCCCCACGCCTTTTATGAAATGAATGTTATAGGTAAATTCTAATGGATATTTACGAAGATTTCATTTGAATCCATGCGTTGTTTATTGTTAACGTGAAATAATTTTTTATATTAAAAGGAATTATGGCAAAATGAAAACTTATTTCAACATTCACTTGTTCACTCATTTATACCCTTGGCTGGGCATAATGTCACTTCAACACATTTTTAACAAAACTTTTCTAATTCTAACAAATATCAAATGATGTTATACAAAACAAATGTATGTATAAAAATTAATAATTCATACACAATTTCAAACACTTACCTTGTCTCACAAGGAAGATATATTGGTTATAAGAACCAATGCTGTTCTCGACAGACACACGGTATTGCCCATAATCAATTTTTGAAACGCTTATAATTGTAAGATTGCTTTCTAGACCGGACGAAGAAAGTTTATAATCTTCATTGCTTAAAACTTGAGTCCATCTTGATCCTATCTCTTTGAACCAAGTAAATCCATCCGGACCTGGCTCAGGATATGCTAGCGCAACGAATGTCAATTTAACAGGTGTACCTAGTAAACTTGTGATATTCTCTTCGGTCTTACGAAGTGGGCGTGGTGAACCTTAGAAACAAACATAGGATAATAGAATAAAAATATAGCTAATATTATTAAAAAATATTCTTAAATAGAGGGAAAAAATAATCCCTAACGAACGCCAAAAGCGGCAAATTAGCGAGTTTTTAAAATTCCCATTCCGATTAAAACATTTTTCTTGTAAATTTTACTAAATGTAAGTTATTAAATGTGTTTCCTTTTTTATATAATTTTGCTTTGAGTTTATGTGTTGAGTTAAACCATAAAAAAAAATATAATGAACTATATTTATTTTCACATGAACTTGACGCAAACTAATGTTCAACTGCAGCTGTTGATCTTTTATATTTTATATTTGCATTTTATAATCATTACATCTTTACATTTGTTTTCCCACCATTACAATGTATTAAATAAGTTTTTCCTTTATTATTTATTAGTAAGAGAAATATTTACATCTGACAAACAGTGATACGTATCTGTGTGAGATTTCTTTTTTCTGATTTCTTGTTTCACATTTATATTCGCCACTATTAAGGCAAGACGCTGTGTCGATGGTATATATCAAAGAATTTGTATTGGCTTGTTCTTTTAAAATCTCGTCATTAAATATCACTTTGATATTCACAGCAGGGTCCCCACTGACTTCACATGTAAATCTGATATCAACATTATTCTCCTGGATGGTCATCATTGACTGACTAACGTTGTTGCCAACATAAAACAATTTCACCTGTGTTCGTTCTGAAAGATTTGTTTGATTAAGTAAATTTCCTTCATTAATTATAATGCTTAAACAATGTAATCTAGTTAAGCATGTATTATGGTCATGGCTTTGTTGCAAATATTATTCTTCTCTTGATTTTAGCATTTAAATTTAACAAGGCAAATTTGGAAATATAATAAGACAGGATGTTGTCTTGTAGATAGCAATTCTTTCAAAAATATAATATTGATTATAACATATTATTATTTTTCAAAGAGAAAAGAAACTCTGAATAGTAACCTTTTATATTGACACTGACAATAGCATCAGCAGATTTGGAATACGAGGAGTCGGTGTTTTCAGCTTTGCATTGGTAATCTCCTATCATATATTTATCAACTGATTCGATATATAATTTATCATTTTTAGAATTGATTACTTCGCCACTTGTAACATTTGTCCATGTATAGGTACACCTAGGATTACAGTCAACTGTACATTCTATTGACATTTTCTCCCCTTCAGTCAAAACATATGGTGATGTTACGTTAACACTGACCAAATCCGGACCATCTGGTTTTATGAAATATTTAAGAAAAGACCATTTAGTTATTGTAAGTCTTAATTGATATCTCATATACAAGTATATATAAAGGGATGAAAGATATATGTAAATATAAAGACATCTTTTTTGTTTGAAAAAAAAAGCCATTAATCTATTTTCCAGATATTTATACTTCACACCAGCAGGTGTCAAGTGATGTGTGGCAGCCGTAAAAAGTTGCCCCGTACTTCACTTCAGTGTTGTTATATTTTTCTCGTCTTTCGAGATTATTGAGTCCAGAACTTTTAAGTTTGAGAATTGAGTACTGCTCAATTTGGTGCTACCGGGGGATGAAGAATGTTGCACTTTTTAATTACCCCTCATGTACAGACTCAATCAAACCGAGTCTGAAATTTTCATGTAATTTTGCTGTTTTTAATGCTTGCGAGGGATAATGTTTTCAAGATATTTACTTTCATGTATGATGACTGGTCTATTCTTAGATGTTGAAAATAGAGAAAAACAGAATCCCTAAAGAAAGCCCTATACGGCAAAATTGAAAATGTTGCGGGCTCGGTTTGAATGACGAATTACTGTTTAAAACTTACAATGCACGTCAAATGAAAATAGTTCACTGCTGTTTGATGTGTATCCATCAGTAACATCTTCTGTAGCTGAACATGTAAACTGTATATTTGCATCTTCCTTCAAAATGTTTGATACAGTTAGTTTATCCTTACTTGTCGTGTATGAGTATTTCGTACCAGCCGGATTCTCTATGTTGTTAACTCTCCATGAGTATTTCAAACTGAGGCTGTGGTTGCTGGGTATAGTAGTTGATGTGCTACTACATGTTAAAATTGCACTTTCTCCTACAGATGGTGTTTTATTCACTGTCACTGTTGGCTTTCTGGGGATACCTGCAATTCATATTTAGTTTTCTAAAACTATTATCACAATCTCTGACTAGTGTGTCAGTGAATATATACTTTTGCTCAGAGGCCTAGAGCGTTGTTAAGTCCACTTATAAAAGGGCAGATGCAGGTGATTTCGTATAAGCAACGCGGGGATCTTTTCTGATGTGTTATGAACTTAAAATGGTCATGAGTTAACAGCTCGTCCGGAATTTTATTGTGAATTGAAAAACGTGTTTGGTCATTATAAATGGTTACTTGTATAAGAGGATGTGTGTTATGTTTCAGTACATACCTACCTTTATGCTTATAAGTAACCCTAGCAGCTGTGTCAGATAATTGATTATGTTTCTGCTCATAAGTTGATTATTGTGAATTCAAATCGTCTATCTAATACGAACATAGCTTTTAAATAATTAAGATTTATTTAGTTTATTCATAAACAATGCCCGCGATTTTCAAAGACAATAAAAGAAACTGTATTTCTGTGTGTTTTAAAAGAATCTGCTACCTGCACTATCATACATATTTTAGAAAATAAAAAGGTTTTTGTCTTAATTATATCAAATTAAGTTATATATTGTATTATCTGACGTTTATGTATATATTTTAAGTTTGTTTTATGTTGAGTTTTTAACTATAAAAAAATTTTTCAGAAACATCTTATATCTCATACCTACCTAACATGTATAAACAGTTGCATTTTGAAGAAATTCCTGCAGTTGTCAATATATAAACGCCTGTATCATTATGTTGGATATTAGGTAGTAAAAGAACTACATCACCATCTCTATCAACAGCTGTACCGAGACCTGGTAATACATCAGTTGTAGGACTCCTGTCTGGATAGTATGTTATTCTAGCCTTAAAACTACCGTCAAAAAACTTGACGTCAAACACTCTTGGTGCAATCAAATTTGTAAGGTCAGCAGAGAATTGAAGAAGAGTATCGGTGTTGACACGACTGAATACTTTTCTGATTGGTGATACACATGGCCATGCTTTGACTGAAACAATATTTTTTTTTATTTATATACAGAAAATAATTTCCTAATTTCTTTTAACTTAATAAATTGATTTTAAACACATTCTTTAATCAATCACGTTAACAAAATTCTGACAAAATAGAAAAATTGAATTTAAGATATATATTAGCTTTTGAATTTTACAAGGTGTACCCTGTTTGCATCTATTTCCGCGGTACTTAGCGTAATAACAAATAAATATAATATAAAAGTCACTTAACTTTGTTTTCTTTTTTGTTCAATACATTCACCAATAATTCATTAAAGGAGCAGCATAAAGAATATACATCAAATGTTTACTGTTTTTTATTATTATCGGCATTATTCAAGTCACGTGACAGCCACCATTACTGAGGGGAAGAAAATCTGGTTCGGCGGTATAAAAGTCTATACCATACTGTTTTAAAACACAAACCATTGAAAATGTTAAACAAGTTCAGCCACCACACATTTGTAACAAAGTTCTATGAAATACCAACAATAACTTGTTCATTTACACAAACATCCATACACTCCTGTTATTTTTTTGTTTTTATTACTCTTCTTTTGCACAATGGGGGCATTTAAAGACAGTTTCCCTCCTGAGCACTTTCACTTCACTGCAAAATTTCAAATGCACCCAAAGAGGACAGTAATCACACTTTCCCCACTTTACAAAAACAATACTTTTGCATACTTTTAAATCAGCTGGGAACCATATATTAAGATATACCAGATGTGCTTGGCTTTGCATGATTCACAGGTGATTTGGAGTTTTGGCTTTACTTTGTTTTGTAAAGATGTCTTGGTTGTTTAAACAATTTGGTGGCTGACTTGCTTGTATTTAATTTGACTTTATTTTCAAGAATGGCTGTAATTGTACTATTTAACAAATTGCCACATACATAGGGAGGAACAAATTGTCTCTTTGGTCTCTGTTCTTTACTTTCACATATGTACTTCTTTGCTCTCAAAGGAAGTAGACTCATGTTCATGAGATTGTGAGTTCTGAGACTTGGGATCTTCATGTGAAGCCTCCTGTTGGCATGGAACATTTTCACACGCATCAGAACTAGATGACTGTACAGCTTTGTCAACTGGATATATAGATGATGGTGCAGTATCCTTTACAGATATTCATGTATAATCAAAAGGAAAAATACCTGATTTTTATTAATGCAGCAGTGAAATTTAATGGGAAAAATGCCTTTAGGTAGGACTTTCCAGTCAACTTGGCAATTTTACATTTGGTAATGTAAGCTCCTGGGTTCTTTTGAACGTACTGCTTGCATTCAGAATAATAATATGTCTTAAAAGGCCCAAATACACCAACATCTAATGGTTGCGTGAGATGGCTAGTGTATGGTGGTAACACAAACAATAGCACATTTGATTTCTTTGCCCACTCTGTCAGAGTTAATGAATAGATGAGGCTTATGCCCATCATACAAATGTAAAGTTGGAGGTTTGTCTTCTGCATTTGAAGTATGAGAAAAGATCCACGACGTGCATCTTGGATGGACTCGAGATTCCATTTCTTACCTGGAAAAATATATTACGGAGAAACAAAGTTGCCTAGGTGATGTTACTGACTGGGGCTTGTATTCTTTCTCACAGACAATTTTTGGTGGATTGTGTTGTGTGTTTATACTAGTTTCATCAAAGTTATATATATATATATATATATATATATATATATATATATATATATATATATATATATATATATATATATATATATATATATATATATATATATATATATATATATACGTTCAGGCTTATCAAGGAGGTCATTTTCAGTAAGAATTTCTTGTAGTTCACGAAAGTAGTTTTCTATCCTTTCTTGTGAAGCCCCTTTTGCTCTAGAAATTTCAAGGTTTTGTGGCGTTTAACAAAGGCATTAACCATAAAGTACTCAGAGAATCCTTAGATTTTATATCCTTGCCCAAAGAACGTGCATAGTCTGGTGCAAGGAACCTAATATTTGTCATGGTATTCCCATAACCCACATTGGTCAGATGTTTGATGTGGTGAGCAAGCTTAGTCTCCTCAATATCTGTGAATAAAGTTTCTGGCCCTACTTTACAATCAAAAGACAAAATGTCTCTAGTGCGGCCCTTAATGTAGATTCTGGCACACCATACACACGACAAGCCCTGTAGACAGACATGCCAGAAAAAGTAGCTTCGTATGTCAATTTCAAATTTCCTCTATCATAATGTTTCCTGCCACTTGTACCATGAACACCAGTACCCTGTGGAAGAAAAATAAAAAGTGTTTCGTAACCTTTACTGACTTTGGTATGGTGGAGGTTTTTAAAACTAATGTCAACAAATTTTGACAGCAGATGGCACGCAAATTCAATAACATATTTCATGGTAAATGAATTTAAAGCTACATGCCCCCAGATGAGCCAAAATATTTCAAGAAAATAAAACTTCGAAAAACTGTACTAAAATTTTAAGAAAAGTAAAAAGATTAAAGATTCAAGCGATAATTCATATTTTATGTGCAATTAATGACTTTTCTGCAGTATTTATCACCATATTTCTACTGCGTTACTAACGCAGTAGGGGTTATTTTGCATATTTTGACCTCTTTTTGGTAATTCACGTGGATTATAAGTGCAATTTTTCAATAACTATCTTTGTTTATTTCACAATACTATACTGTTAGATACATTTTCAAAATTTTCATGAAAATTAGGATGAATCTGGAGGCGTGCTGCTTTAAAACATTTGTATTTTTGTTTACATCATCGTTATCTTGTACTAATCTTTAACATTTTAACATATAACATACCAGAAGGCGGTTCATTCTGCAGTATTTGGCAAATTTATCTGTCACAGCGAGTCACGTTTGTTTTCAAGTGAAAATAACGAAAAATGAAAATGACGCGGAACCGGATTTAACGCGGAGATAGATGCAACTAGTATACCTACGACTTGTGACAAAAGACAACTCATATACAATCATACTCTTAAAATCCTTATGTTATGACAGGTTTATCAGATAGTTTCGATTAAATGTGGTATCAAGAGTGTTGACATTGATTACAATACAAGGTATCCATTTCTTTACATCTACTTAGATGTTTTAAGACACACAATCTGACAAAGTTAATTAATGAATGCATAAATATCCAAATAAAATCTTCCACGATCTTCTTGTAATTTTGTTGTGATTAATGATTCCGAGGGATCACTTTGTTTCCAGATTTTTATACAACAGCAGGTATCAAGTACTGTGTAGCAACTGTAAAAAGTTGCCCCGTACTTTACCTCAGTGTTGCTATATTTTTCTGGTCCTTCAAGATCATTTTTGCCAGCACTATTAAGTGTTGAGAATTGAGTATCGCTCAAGCCGGTGTTAGGGGAAGTGAGGGATGTTGCACATATTCATTACCCCTCATGTACAGACTCAATCAAACCGAGTCTGCAATTCTCTTGTAATTTTGTTGTGATTAACGCTTCCGAGGGATCACTTTGTTTCCAGATTTTTTCTTCTGGACAGCGGAAGAACGGACGACATTGTATAACAATAATGTATCAATTATATCGACGAGAGGATGTTTGTTGATTCAAGACGCGATAAAAATGCATTACTGTCCAAATTAAATTTGCAAACTTAAATAAATAGATTCTAGCTGTTCTTAATTTTTCAAATCTAGAAATTCTACGATCAGATATGATCATTGTAAATATACTTAATATCTCCAGTTATGAGAATTAGACAACATTTTGAAAGTGATCTGTTTGTCATAATATATTATAGCTAAGTTAACAATGATAAAAGATAGAAACACTCGAATTACTGGCAAATTAAAATGTTGCAACATCGTTTTAATAAATATGCAGTTTTAGTCAACTCAATTTTGCTATTTTCATACCAAGAAGCTGACACGTATCTGTATGCAATTCAAGAGGAACACAAACATTTTACTATGTTTATTTTTGTATATTTTTTAATTATTCATTGTTTAGGGGGTAGAAGTGGGGTTACTACTTGTTAGTGTAGTATTCAATGTAGTTTTTCTCTGTAGACAATTAACGTAACATGCTGAAATTACTGGGAGATTAATTTTCTCATTTAATTTAATTTTTGCTGAACATTACCCATTCGATTAACATTAACAACATACCAAACATTTAATTAGAACTATTACATAACAACACTGGTACTTAAGAACGCTGAGGGTAACTTTCATTGTGGACCTTGCTGCATCCAATAATTATTTTGCATTAACAATACAGGCTTAGTTTTCAGGTACAATAGTTTATTGATAAAGGTAACGTTATTATATAAATGGATATCTATATATTACATTATTTGATTAGTCCTTAATCACTGTATTGCATTTTTCAAAATGCACATTAATTTGATTCAAATATTTTATAATGATTCTATAGGTTTTATTTATACTCTTATATTTTTGCAACAATATAACATAGAGGAAATTTGTTTAGTTCAGTGTAAGATCGGAATATATTTCACCGAGTGAGCACCAAAGGGAATATTTCACGAGTGGCGCAAATTTTCTTTTTATCATATGCAAAGAAACGTTTTAAAAAGACATTAAACCTAATACTGAATGAAAAGCGCGCCAAATAATAATACAACGTGACGTCATTTACGACGTCACGTCATCAAGTTGGTACCCAGTACTGTGCACGCTGGTATTTCACTGAAACAACAAAAGGGGCTCAAATTCAAAACAGTGAAATTATCAAAGTGGTAATTTCACTGTTTCAAACAGTGAAATTACCAGTTTTATGTCACTGATATATTTCTATAAACCACCGAAAAGCATGTAATAAAATAGTATTCACTTGTTAGAAATAGTATGCACACTTTTAACTGTATTCTATGTTATCGGAAATATCATCAAATTACGCAATACAACAAAAGACATACCTGCTATAATCACAGCAAATATAACAAAAATACTGATATTCATTTCACCTTCCGTTTATATTTACTGCTTAAATTTGACAAGGAAGTTTGAATATTATATCTAAGTGCATATGTGTATTTAAATGTTAAACAAATACTAGTTTGAATAAGTTAACTACCTGACATTAATATAAACATCTAAAGATTAGCCTATCAATTGCTTTATTGTTCAAACCTTGCTGATTTGAGTAATATATTGTTTATTATAATTTAGAAATCTTTCTTGTTTCATTCCACCGGCAACAATAGTTTGCTTATTTGTCTATTTATTAAATAATACATGTATTAATTTGCATTTCAATGTTTTATGTCGAATATGGTTTAAAACCTTCAGTTATGCATTTACAATAGACATAAACATCCTGCTCTACTTCAGTATCGATTACTTCCTTGTTATATAGGTCAATCTTAACTTACATTTTGTAAATATAAATGGTCATAGGTTTTGTGGATGAGTTAATGGTTAACTTTTAAAGAAAAAAACATATTTGATGTAATTCAGTGTCAAAGTTATTTTAAAATTCATAACGTCTAAATCATATGAAAAATATTACAAACGCTCTCTATCGACGACAACCTTTTGTAATTGAGAGGTGAAGAACATTCTTTACATTAAACAATGTTTAAAAAATTATGCAGTTCGCTGTCCAATATATAATACTAGCGTCATGAAAACCTTTAAATGCGAGTATTCATTTCAATTATTTTTTATCTCATTTAGTGCACACACAGAGCCGACTTTTGCACTCTACAGTCGTTAAGGAATTAAAAGAAATTAAACTTTAAAAGACAAATGTTTCATCCTATTACTAGTATCAAAAAAAAATATTAATTATTCAACAACTTTAACTAACATATCAGAATGGATTGTATTGTGTTTACACCGACAATCGGTTAGTTATTCTTGAAACCCAACCCATGTTAGTTTAAAATGACGTTATTCTGGTGCCCAAATGAAAAGAGCGTGACATACATAGAATGACGTCATAACGCTGCTTACTGTAATAACTTGTGAAAATTCAAATTTGTGATTGCGAAAAGTTATGCTGGACCTTAAGTGGTGTTAGTCCAACAAACTGTACTAAGAGTTAATTATAATATAATGTAATATGTAATATATTGGCAATATCTTTCGTCTGCGACGCAGAAGCGGCATTCCGACTTCGAACAAAAAGTACTGTACCCCATAATCTAGCTTTGGATGTTGAAATATTTTGACTATCAGAAGGTTCTGAATCATATTTCAAAAATAAAATATGCAAACATATATTAAAATTTTAAAATTTTTATCAATCACTTATTTTAAAAATAAATAACCGAGAGATAACCGGATGTATTCGGTTTGCGCATATGTGTGCGCGTGTGCGTGTTTTTCGATATTTTCATGCGCATGAGTATACGGGTTCGTCAACGTTATTGTTGGCCTTGTTATTTTCGACACAATTAAAACACAATAATGAGATTTTAAAAGCAATATAATATATATGTATATAGAATAACATGTGGGAGGAAACCTGCTTAAACAGAATTTAAATATATAATAAAATTAAACTTAAAAATGAAAGAACTAAAGAAAAATCTGGAACACTCAAATAGAAATTTCGTTTATGGACTTCTTCAGATTAATTAAAATTTAGATGCGTAAACCGTTTCAAAGAGATCCTCTATATTATTTTGATTATTTTAGAATGGCCAATGAGATTCAAATGTTTCAGTTTGAAATTTTAAAATGACCAATGAAAATTCTACTTATATTTATTTCTTCCCTGGAAATTTTACAGGAATTCAATCTGATTTTAAACGCCCTTCGACCGAAAAATAGGCAATTAATGTCATTTAGATTAGCAGTTGTAAACTGCACTGTATAAATTTTAAATGCAGAACGCAACAAGACGACCTTTTCTTTTGGTCGTCATTTGTTTTGTAGTTCACTTCGGGTGGTTCTTGACCCCAGCAAACTCGATGGCTAGTCGAACGTCAGTGAAACAGTCGATTGCTGACTGTCGGTCTTTGTTTGTAAATATTTTGTTAAGATAAAAAAAGTTTCAAAATATAAATGGGTAATTTTCTTTTAAAGTTTGCATCTTAATTTGAATCATTTTCACGTCTAGCATTTACATATATTCATACAAAAAACATAAATATCAAACGCGTTTTTATTTGCTGTCTTTTAAACGGATTCTAACAGTCCAAATGTAATGACTTAATGTGAAATAGAAATTTCTTTTAAATTACGTTAGAATTGATGCGTCCAAATTTTAATATTCTATGAAAATATCAGACCATTTGAATGTACTTTTCACTAGCCTAATGTAGATAAGGTTAAATTAAGCTAAGTTCTCAATTTATAATAAATACGGTAGTAATTTCCCTTAAAGGCCAAACCAAATCTATTGTGGTGTTATGTGTTCATGTTTGTCTTTGTTCCTTTTGTATGGGTGATTGAACTGGTTTTGCAAGTTGAGTGATGGATGATTGGTTTTGGTATGCAAGTTATTTTTAGATGATTTGGTTCTGGAATATAACATTTCTTAGTAACTCAGACCACTCCTTGTCTCGCTTTCGAAGTGAAAACAACTTTAAAATATATTTAACTTTCAGTAATTTCTTTATAGAAATACTTGATTCTGATTTCTATAATTCAATTAGATTTCTTCTATTACAAGCCTGGTATGTATATTTGTATATATTTATTTGTGAAATTGTTTTTATTGTAATTTGAATTGTTGTGTAATATTCTGTATTATGTATTTTGTGAAATGTATTTGTCTTGTAAAATATTTATTTGTATTGTGATGTCTCATACTTATTTTACTTGTTACAGGTTTTATTCTTTATAGAATAAATCTATAAACGTTTCCAAGTGTTTCTTGTTGAAAACCCCACCACTACACTAATATCAATTCAAGCAAAAGGGTAAGACGACCGATGCAATAAAACTTAATTATGACCATAATAAAACTTACTTTGCGGCTCTAATCAGTTTATTTTCTCGTGAAAAAATGATTTTATTAAATTATTTGATAAATATTCGTCTAAAATATGATATTTTTTTCGACAACCATTTGTAACCATCATGATTATCCTTTGGACTAAGGTCCATGTCTTCGATTATTTCAATGCAGTTGATATAGTAAAGATAAGCACACTTTTTTAACCTTGTGAATTCCCTCGAGTTATATATCTAAGATTTAATGGCCAGAAATTCTTAGATTTAGATAACATTATGTTATTTATTCATTTATTTTGGCCTATCTGTATGAAATTATTTTTATTTTATACTCTTCCCTTTAGCATCCTCAATTTAAAATTGTTAACATTCATTTTTTACAAAGGAGTGTGGTCACGTAGAGCTTTCTACTACCTCGGAAAATACCGCAAGTGATACTATATCAATAAATAAATGAATAACTACAATATATAATATAACTACAATAGATAATAAGACCGCATTGGTTCATAAAGCTTCCATGTTAAAAAGGGCAATAAAACTGATATACGGTAAATAAATATCAGTTTCTGTTGTGCAATGTTGATGAAAAAGAACAAAGTGTAGCACAGAAGCTCAAAAAGTAAATGGCATGAATATATTAACCAAACGGAATTGGAAAAATTGAAAGTATGATATTTTCCCAAAAGGCAACAAGCATGACTTTGCCAGCCGAAGGAGCAAGCTTAAACATTTTAGGAGGTGGTGGGGAACCAGCTCGTTTCCACTGCTTTGACTGAGCTTTTGTCTCAGGTTCGGAAAAATGAACCCACATCTCATCTCCAGTGATAATGCGGTTCAAAAACTTATCTCCTTCACGATTAAAACGACTTTAATGTTCTTATGCATTGGTTACTCTGGTTGCCTTTTGATCTGCGGACAGCTGTCTAGGCACCCACCTGGCACTTACCTTGCTCATGCCTAGGTGTTCGTGTAAAATCTTGTGTGCCGATGCCTTACCGATGCTAAACTTGTTGGCTACCTCCTCCAAAGTTACTCGACGATTTTTGTTGACAAAAGCTTTAACATTTGCTGCTATTGTTGGGGTCACCGCCTCATCTGGCCGCCCAGTCCTAGGCCTGTCACAAAAACTTGTTCTGCCTTCACGAAACTGAGAAACTCAGTTGTAGAAGGTTGAACGTGATACACATTTATCAGAAAAAAAATTTTAAGCCTCTGAAAGATGTGGCAGGGCTTTTCACCTTCTGCAACCAGAAACTTTATTACAGAGCGTTGTTCCTCTTACAAAGAGTCCATAATAGACGAAACACCTATCATATATCAAAAGGTAAAATACTGTGTATACACAACTATCATTGAAAATAAACTGACCACGTTATTGGCGAATGAATGTAGTTTTCACCAATATATAATGTGTGTATATAGCTGCACGTGGAAAGAGAGGAGCATGAAAAGTCCGGATATTTTCTGACCGTCCCTCGTATACATGTATATAGAATGGTTTATTATTTCTTATATATGATCATCAAAACGAAACTTCAGCAATTTATATTTTTGATCAATCAAAAACAATCATTAAGAATCAATAGGTTGTATAATATGAGATTATTTGATAACAAAATGGTGATCATATTCAAAATTTTTATTTAAAAAGTTGTATTATTTTAATTAGAATCTAGTGATTTGATCGCATTAGCAGAAACTAATAACTGACCTCTTAACCCTATTTTTTCCATAAGTCAGTTCATTCGACCCGAAATTCTTAGCAGTAATAATTCATTTTGATCGCACATGTTAACAGACACCTTGCAAATGTACATTCAGTTCTTAACATCATATATGTCAGAGAAAAATGATTTCAAATGCATTTCAGATTTTAAGATAATCAAATCAAATATCATCATTGGAATAATAAGAGACATTATACCACTGGTAAACTTATTCAGAATTTCCTTCCGTAACATGTGTTCGAATTACAAGATTCTAACTGCTTATTGGCGTCCGCGCGCGCTTACGGAATGAAAAAGGGCGACAGCAACTTCTCGAGCCTTTTAGTCGGTCATAATAAAAGCCGATCATTCCGATCGGTATGAGGGTGCTTGATTATTATTAATTAAAAATGAAATGTCGCGATA